TGGATGGATGGATGGATGGGTTAGTGGATGGGTGGGTGGATGGATGGTAGATGGTGGTGGGTGGATGGATGGGTAGAGATGGACGGATAAGTTGGTGGGTGGGCGGATGGATGGATGGATGGGTAAGTAGGTGGATGGATGGATGGATGAGTTGGTGGGTGGATGGATGGGTAGGTAGGTGGATGGATGGATGAGTTGGTGGGTGGTTGAATGGATGGATGGATGAGTTGGTGGGTGCGTGGATGGATGGATGGATGGATGGATGGATGGATGGATGGATGAGTTGGTGGATGGGTGGGTGGATGGATGGTAGATGGTGGGTGGTGGGTGGATGGATGGGTAGAGATGGATGGATAAGTTGGTGGGTGGACAGATGGATGGATGGATGGGTAGGTAGGTGGGTGGATGGATGGATGGATGGATGGATGAGTTGGTGGGTGGGTGGATGGATGGATGGATGAATGGATGGATGGATGGATGAGTTGGTGGGTGGGTGGATGGATGGATGGATGAATGGATGGATGGATGGATGGATGAGTTGGTGGGTGGGTGGATGGTGGATGGATGAGTTGGTGAGTGGATGGATGGATGGATGGATAGATAGACGATAGATCGATGTCGACTCAGAGACAGATACAGATATAGAGGTAATATGTATGTAGATACAGATGTAGCTATCTCGTGCCTCGCCCTCTTCCCTGGGCACCGGGGCGGGGGCCGGAGCGGGGCCACGTACCTGCATCACCAGGCGCACTGTGGTCGCTGAGCACCGTGGCCAGGCCGGGGATGGGCTGCGTGGTCAGGTACCACACTGCATGCAGCACATCTGTAGCATGAACTCGGTTGTGATCTGAAAACAAGCAGAGGGACCAGTCAGCATCGGGTGAAATCGGTGGGGGGGGGGAGAGGGGGGCAGGAAGATGGGTGGTGGATATTATATATTTCTTTCTTTCTAGGCCTCTATTTGTAGGCCTATGAAAATAGTATAATGACACCCACTAAAATGTTCTATTCCTACACCTAAAAAACAAATAGCGTAATGATGTCCATTAAAAACCATTAAAAAAAAACTAAATAGAAAAGTGACTCTGGAGGCTGAGATCTGAGGATCACAGCACAATGCCAGGCTAAGCAGGAAAGACTTTCTCCAATCAACCATCAAAAAAAAGAAAATCTAGAGGTGGCGCTGTGGCTCAAGTGGTAGAGCACTAGCCTTGAGCAAAAGCAGCTCAGGGACAGCGCCCAGGCCCTGAGTTCAAGCCCAGGATCAGCACCAAAAAAAAAACAACTCAAAAAACTTTGTTTATGAATATATGCAAAATATATTTGCATAGATTTTTATAGGAGAGAAAAATGCGTGCATTTGTCTCTCTGAACCTAACTTACATCACTTAGCATGATTATAACTATAGGGCTGGGCAGGTGGCTCAGTGGTAGAGTGCTCACCTCGCATGCATGAAGCCCTGGGTTCGATTCCTCAGCACCACATGCACAAAAAAAAGCTAGAAGTGGTGCTGTGACTCAAGTGGTAGAGCACTAGCCTTGAGAAAAGCAGCTCAGGGACAGCACCCAGGCCCTGAATTCAAGCCCCAGGACTGGCAAAAAAGAAAAGAAACAACAACAACAAAAATACCATGTAGTTTTTTTTTTGGAAAGCAATCTAGATCCTTGGGGAGCCTTTAAGAGAGGCTGGATTTTGGTTTTCCTCTACAGTTAGGACAAATGTCTGCTTTTGTCCCTGTTCTGACACTTGTGAGTAAGTTACTGAAGGGTCATTTTCTTATCTTGAAAAGAAAACAGATGGAATGTCTCATTTCTTATCTGAAAAATATGCAGATACTAACAGTGCCAATTTCAGAATAAGATGATGACAAAGTCCCTAGAGAGAACAGATTTGTGTTGTTGTTGTTGTAGGATCTGAACTCAGGGCCTGGGGGCTGTCCCCTGAGCTTTTGCATTCAAGGCTGGCGCTCTACCACTTGAGCCACAGCTCCATTTCTGGTTTTCTGGTGGTTCCTTGGAGATCAGAGTCTCATGGACTTTCCTGCCCGGGCTGGCTTTGAACCTGGATCCTCAGATCTCAGCCTCTTGAGTAGCCGGGATGACAGGCGTGAGCCACCAGCTCTTGGCTTATTTTTTACATCTAAATTGAGACAATTTAATGTTTATTCAACCTTCCACTTAGACATTTAAGAAGCTTTTGCATTTCCCCATTTCTCTTTAAAAAAAAAAGTACTTTTCCAGATGCCATTATGAAACAAATTTCACTTCTAATATCTTAGTGTGTTATGGAAGTGGATTCCACCCAATTTTCAGTTTAGCACTTCTGTGTGGCTTTTGTTCCCCCCCCCCAATTAATTCTGGATATATTCACACAGATCCATTTAGAGAAAAAAAAATTCTTTTAGGAACACACGGTAAAGTCATTCAACAGGCTGTGAGATGTTGACACACGTTCATTATCACAAACAAGAAGGAAGGCTCCTGACTACATACCCAATGGTCCACATGTAAAACCCCACCCATGCATGGCGGAGTTCTGATTTAAAAGCGATCAAACTCCAGTGCTTTCCTGAGACAGATAAATCAATTTACAGGGAAAGATAACACCAGCTTGGAAATTACAGCCAGTGACTCGAGGGTCTTTAAGAGTGCTCATGGCTTCCTGCCTGTGCTAGTTTATTTACGTAACTTCTTAACCTTTCAGAAATCACTGGAACACTTAGGGTGATGGTTGGCACTCAGCCTTGGGAAAAATCACATTAAAGCAAGCAAAGCTTATCTTGAGTTCCTTTCAAACAAACCCTGTTTCATATCTCTTATCCATGGCTTCAGCCACCAAACTTTCTCAAGAGATCCTAGGATTCTTAAACTCCTTTTTTTAAAAAAAAATTTTTCTCCCTTACCCCAGTGGTCCGATTTTTTTTCTGCCTTGGGTTCTATATTTTCCTGCAAATCTCAGGGGCAGATTGAATTCTCCCTTCCTATTACGATTGGTTTATGTGGTGTCATTCTACTCCAAGGCCAGCAATGGGACTGCCAAGTACAGTAGCTCCCGTCTGTCATCCCAGCTACTCAGGAGGCTGAGATCTGAGGATCGTGGTTCAAAGCCAGCCTGGGCAGGAAAGTCTGTGAAACTCTGATCTCCAATGAACCACCAGAAAACCAGAAGTGGAGCTGTGGCTCAAAGTGGTAGAGCGCCAGCCTTGAGTGAAAATTCAGGGCACTTAGGCCCCGAGTTCAAGAGCCAGGCTCCAACACAGGCCACAGCCCCTCATCACTGACGGTCCTACTGAGGATCTTACCCACTTGTGATGTTTAGATGGCTCCTAGCGATTCACTAGCTTCCTCCCCTACAATCTCTCCCTACCCCTCAGGGTAGATTGGATCTTCTTAGAACTGTCCCATCCCAAATGGCTTCTACTTACAAGGAATGTCTCGGTATCCAATCTCCAACGCGTGAAAATAATTCATGAATTCTCTCACTGGAATCTTAAAGGCTTCGAAGAGGCCCATGTCTTCAAAAAGTCTGTAGGAGACCTAGCAAAGGGACACAAAGACACGATCAACTCATCACACACCACCCTACGATGCATCCATTGCATATGGCGGACATTGCATATGGAAAATGGCAAACCCCATTGGTCACACTGTATTTGTGTGCATCAGTAGTAAAATTTGAACTCAAGACCAGGGCATTCATTTTCCCTTTGCTTCTGCACATGAGATGAGCATTCTAGCACATCTCCACTTCCAGCTTGTCCCTGATCAACTGGAGAGCCACCAGATTGCCTCCTGATCGCGCCTGGCTGGCTTAGAACCGTGATCCTCCTGTCTCAGCTTTGCTGAATTGCTGGGCTGTCAGATGTGAGCCACCAGCTCCAGGCAGCGATCTCTCTCTGCCTGTTGATCATTTCCCTTCTCCCCACAACTTCTCATTCCCCCCACCCCCCCCCATGGCCAAGAAGAACTGGAATCTTGTTACAGCCACGAACCACTCACTGTACCTCTCTGTGCCGTTAAACGGGTATGACGCGTTTCTTACCTGGCTGAGAATACGGCTGCATTTTCTTCCTATATTTTCCACTAAGTCAAAAATGGGGAAATTCCAGGTGTTTAGCTGGTCCATTATTGAACCCAGATTATCCATGATGAGAGGCTCAGGGGCAAGAATCGGTTTGTCCTGAAAGAGAGATTAAATGACATTAAGAATAGGTGCTTTTTCTCCAAGACAAATCCTGTCTTGAAACAGTCAATCAGCAACAGTCATTATCTGAAGTAAACAATGGAAAAATCTCTAAGGGAAAGGGTGAACCTCTATCTATCTATCTATCTATCTATCTATCTATCTATCTATCTAGTGGTAGTCCTGGGGCTTGATCTCAGGACCTAGGTGCTGTCCCTGAGCTTTTTTATTTTTTTATTATTTTTATTTTTGGCTCAAAACTAGTGCTCTACCACTTGAACCACAGCTCCACTTCCAAGTTTTTTTTCCCTGGTTAATTGGGAATAAGAGTCTCACTGACTTTCTTGCCCAGGTTGGCTTTGAACCATCATCTCAGTCCCCTGAATAGCTGGGATTAAATGCATGAACCACGGGTGCCTGGCTCACCAGGATGGATCTTAAGAAACAAATACAGTAAAGATAAACAACATACTGACGCAGAATGAAGTGGGCGGCAGTGAAGTTTTGGGGTACCTGCCGGTCCCTCACTTACAACTTTGTGTGGAAACTGTCTTTTCTATCAACGTGTATTGCTTCAAATTTCCTGCTTTGGCCTGGGGGGCTTGGCTTTTGTTAGGGAAAAGAGAAACTGCTTTGGAATAAGAAAAAAAAATGCAAAATGTAAGGTTTATTGTCTTAAACTGGTTTCAAGATGGAATTATAGCACACCCCAGCCTGTTCAAGAAATAGCAGAGGGTGTGAGTTATATTTTGAGATGACTCCTGTTCATCTTATTTCAAAGTCACTTTGTGTAACTAGATCTTACCCTATTCAAACTAGCCAATCACAAGCAGATGGTGCACCTGAGCTCAGCCAATCCAAGCAGAGGGGCGGGACCTGCTGTATTAGGGATGACCTTATGTAAACAGATCTTACTCTATTCAAATTAGCCAATCACAAGCAGATGGTGCACCTGAGCCCAGCCAATCCGAGCAGAGGGGTGGGACCTGCTGTTAGGGATAACCTTATGTAAATAGACCTTAGTCTATTCAAACTAGCCAATCACAAGCAGATTGTGCACCTGAGCTCAGCCAATCCGAGCAGAGGGGTGGGGCCTGCTGTGGGAGGTATAAATAGGGGAGTGGCCGGCCTGCTCTGGGTACTTGCTGAGCAGATTTCTGGCTGATGACCACAGCTTTCTGCAGAAGTGGATTTTGCTATTAGGGTTTTTGCTATTTATATGTAATCTTATATTTATAACAGCATGAGCAAAACAGAGACACTTTTTCCAGAAGCTACTAAAACTACCTTGGGTTTGTTGCGAACTTCCTCAACCAAGACTCAAAGGATAGTGGGAAGTGATATGCAAGGCCACCTCTTTCTAGATTTAGGAAATGTTTTCAGAGATCAGGGGGCTTCTGGCTTATATGGGACTCTTGAAAGAAAGCAAGGAATCATGAGGGAAAGCAGCATCCCAACTGACTCTACAGAGTCTTCTGTAGAAGAAAACTGGTATACAGACGGGAAATTTAACTGAGCTTTTGATCCGCCATTTACTAAGATGCATGGATTATGAAAATGCACATTGAAGCTGGTGGGAATTCAGGTGTTGCTGGCTCCTGCCTGTCATCCCAGCTGCTCAGGAGGCTGAGATCGGAGGATCACAGTTGAAAGCCAGCCTGGGCAGGAAAGTCCGTGGGATGCTTCTCTCCCATGAACCACCAGAAAGCCGGAAGTGGTGCTGTGGCTCAAGTGGTAGAGCACCAGCCTTGAGCTGAAGAGCTGAGGGACAGCGCCCAGGCCCTGAGTTCAAGCCCCAGGACTGGCACACACACATCAAAAGGTAATTTTAGTATTTAGCAAGTGTCGATACACTGTGGTTTATCAGGAGGAGGAACACTGGTTCCTTTTGTAAATCAAGTACGTGCTACAGCAAACAGATGCTCTAAAAAACCTCTCCTCTCCTCTTCCCTTCCCTCTCCTCCTCCCTCTCCTCTCCTTTATTCTTTTCTTCTTTCCTTTCCCCTCTCCTCTCCCCTTCCTCTCCTCCTCTCCCCTCCTTTTTCTCCTTCCCTTTCTCCATCTTTCTCTACCTCCTTTCCCTCCTCTCTTCTTTCCTGCCTTCCTCCCTTCTTTCTTTCCTTCCTTCCTTCCTTCTTTCCTTCCTCCCTTCTTTCCTTCCTCCCTTCTTTCCTTCCTTCCTTCTTCTTGTCTTTTCCCTCCCTCCCTCTCTCCCTTCCTTCCTTCTTTCCTTCCTTCCTTCTTGTCTTTTCCCTCCCTCCCTCCCTCCCTCCCTTCCTTCCTTTCTTCCTCCCTCCCTCCCTCTCCTTCCTTCTTTCCTTCCTTCTTTCTTCTTTTCCCTCTCTCCCTCCTTCCCTCCCTTTCTCCCTTCCTTCTTTCTTCCTTCCTTCTTCTTGTCTTTTCCCTCCCTCCCTCTCCTGCTTCCCTCTCCTTCCTTCTTTCCTTCCTTCTTTCTTCTTTTCCCTCTCTCCCTCCTTCCCTCCCTCTCTTCCTTCCTTCTTTCTTCCTTCCTTCTTCTTGTCTTTTCCCTCCCTCCCTCCCTCCCTTCCTCCCTCCCTTCTAAACTATTAACACAACAACATATTCATCTCCCCCATGCCTATTTGCATCTTCAAGCAAGGATGAAGATTACTTAAACGCTTTCCATCTCCAAACAACAGAACCCCAAAGAGACACAGATGGGCCGATGGTGCAGGGAACGAGGGGGCCCCGGCTCACCAGGAACAGCATGGCCTCTGCAGGGAAGGGGCTGCCCCGGGCCGCGGCCTCTCTGGGGGGCTCCCTGGGGACCCCCGCCTCCTCTTCGTTCTGGACAATGTCGCTGCTGTCGCTGTTGTTGTTGGTGTCATAGTCAGACGTGACCTGGGCCGTGTCATCTGCAAAGGAAGGACCAGAGCCCATCAGGAGGCCCGAGATGGGGCCAGCATTGCCCATGGCCATGGGGGCTTCCAACGTGTCACACGTGGGCTGGGACGGTGGCTCAGTGGTAGAGCGCTCACCTCGCATGCATGAGGCCCTGGGTTTGAGTCCTCAGCGCTACATAAAGCAGAAAAAGCCAGAAGTGGCGCTGTGGCTCAAGCAGTAGAGCACTAGCCGTGAGCTGAAGAGCTGAGGGACAGCACCCAGGCCCT